CCTCCCCCCTTTTCCCGCCCCCCCCCCCCCTTCCCTCTTTTTTGTCCCTCTGTTCTGCCCTGCCTATCCACTCCTTCCTCCCTGTAGCCTGGTTTTACCCCTGGACATCAACAACGTTTGAGCCAACTAAATTTAGTAGTAGCATCATGTACACTAATTTCTCTGTTATTTTCAGTGGATTTACCATTTTCCTGTTTTTTTGGTTGCCATGATTGCAAAGCAGCAGCCTAAAGACGGCACAGGTGCCCCATCTTATCGTGGGTCAGGGCCTGAAAATTGTGCAAAGATTTGAATAAACATGGTGCTAGCTTCAGTTCATTTCATTTGGAGCAGTGAAAGTGGAGCTTAAGGCAGGTTAGCTTGCAGTGAATGTCTAATTGCATTCCTCTCAACTGTCCTTTATTTAGAGGGACTGTCCTTCATTTGGAACTAAATTAACTAATCGATTTTGAAAATAATCGTTAGTTGCAGCTCTAAACTAAATCCTTCTGTCCCTCTTTCCTCCTCAGTTCTGTCTGGTCCAATGTACAAATATCTATGACAAAGTACTATTTAACTGTTGAGAACTATAGCCAAACCTTTTTTTGGTTCTCTTTTGGGTCACAGGAGTACATTTACTAATGTACTCCTCTAACCCAAAATCACAAATAGCGGGCTACTTCCTCCTATATGACAGCGCAGAGCCGCTCTGTAGCCAGGAAAGATCCCAACAATATTGTCAGGATCCACCCCATTGCCTCATTGACAGCTAGCTCTACTTTTCTAGAGCCAGAGCTAACTGTGCCCGCCCCATTCCATCTGTCCCTCCTATGAGCGCAGAGAGAGGGGAGTGGGAAATTCCTGCAGTGAGTTGCCACTGACAGTCCTCGCTTTCTGCAGGGAGAAGCCGTGAGCTGATCGATCTGTGGATTGTGATCGCTGAGTTCTCGAGCTATAGAGCCGTTGTGTGATAGCTGCAGTGTCACACGGCGGCTCAAACTATTGGGAAGATTCATTTTTACTCCTTTAAGTATTATTATGTGCTAAGACCTTTTATCTTATCTCTTAATTATCTTGTTTGCTATTTTGAACTGCCAGTATAAAGGAAAAGTAATGGTGAAAAATATAATTGGTTTAACCAATTATTTTTGCCATATACATTTGTAATGGTACAGATAACTGGGTTCGAGGCAGGGTTGGGTCCATTACCTAAATACATTGTGCTGGAAGATGTCCCTCTTTCTCATCTGAAAAAGTTGGGAGGGTATGCAATTGGGAATTGCCCTTATACTCTAACTTGGTTTGCAAAACATAAAATTGCACTACAGTTCTGCCTTAACTCGCACTAAAAGTTTATCTTCACTCTAAAATAAATAACATCCAAAATGTTGGAGGAAAAACACGTGGGAAACATTTTAGCTGAACACAGGCAATGCAGCTCCCCTTAATTATTCCTTAACATGTCATTCATTTGTAATGCGCTTGTTCGGTGACACTGGCAGTGCCTGAGTTGACATGTCTGTGCAAGATAAAGGCAGATAGAACATGGGAGAGGCTTCCTTCCAATGCATGACTCATTGGACATGACTTATAAAGCGCTGCAGGTTTGGAACACATTTACTGGCTCCTCGGGTGATGGATAATTCCTGTGAGATAGGATCCATGCCCTTGCTTGTACCTTGTCATCTCATAGGCGTATAAATCCCTGTACAAAGTAATGAGGCACAGAAATGTGAAGCAGTACTGAAGGGCTTTGCCCCACGACACCTGCACTTGCAGTAAAGATTTTACAGTAGACAGATTTCAACCACGATTTGACAGCGTGTTTCCCTCTACATTTTTTACTTTCCATTTGTCTTTCACACTGGTAGATACTGCAAATACGACAATTTTTCTTGGCAGCTGCTCGGGGAAGACGAGACACATTTTCCACAAAGTTACTGTACAAATATGTTATGCTGAATACTGATGGTCTGGCTTTGGACACTAGTGTTTCCTGATGTTATGCGCCAAGTCTTCCTGAGTACTTTTTCTTTTTGCTAGATACGCTCTGCAGACAGGGAGGCAAAGCTTAGGAGGATGCCTATATTTCTAATAGTCTAAAGCAAACAATATGATCTTGAATAGTTCATAACACTTAGCATCCAAATATTGCCCAATGTGTGACACTAAGGGCCGCTTAAAAATATTTTGCGGGGATTTTTCTCCATTCCCTGCAGAGTTCTCTCAATCTCTGGGACTAGTATGTTATTTTGATTTAGGTTTTTGGGGATAAGTTGCTGGTATAGTCACAATAATAATTATTGTCATGATGGAATACATTTAAATCTCTAACCAAAGTAAAGTGTACGTCTGGGCAAAGTTATAAAAAAAATATGCAGGACATCTCTGCAATGCAGTGGCGTCGCTACAGGGGGGCATCAAGGTTATCACTTGCCCCCCCGTGTGCCCCCCGCTAACAGTGGCAGCAGTCCCGGCGCTAGCGCAAGGCAAGAGAAATGGAATCCCTGTCCCAGCAGATAACTGTGCCCGGTTATCACACAGTTATCTGCTGGGACAGGGGTTCTCCCCGCTGCAGCCTCACAGACTGTAACGATCTGTGTCAGTTGGGACAGATTGCCGATTACAGCCTGTAAGGAGAGCCCTCCGACAGCCTGTGAGCTTTCCCCCCTGCAGTCTACTCACCTCTCCGCTGCGTCTGCGATCGTCTTCATTCCAGCACCTGACCGCAATAGCCAGCCTGCTATTGGCTCTTTTAAATTGCAGTAGCCAATAACAGGCTGGCTATTGCACCCGCCCACTGTCCGCTGTCAATCAACAGAGGTGGACCTGATAGAAAACTGCAGGTCCCTCCTCTGCTGATTGACAGCAGGCAGTGGGTGGGTGCAGTAGCCAGCCTGTTATTGGCTATTGCAATTTGAAATATCCAATAGCAGGCTGGCTATTGCTCCCAGCAATGAAGTAAAAAAAAGAAAAGTTAAAAAAATAAACTAAACTATTAAAAAAAGTTGCAAAAATAAAGTTAAATTAATAAGAAGTAAAAAATATGTAAAAAAAATAAAGTGAAATAAATAAAAATGTTAAAAAAGTAGAAAAAAATTAAAAAAATTAAGTGAAATAAATAAAAGGTAAAAATTTAAAAAAATTAAGTTTAATAAAAAAATAAAAAAAAAGTTTTAAGAAATAAACTGTTGTGGTATTCAGGATTGTGGGCGGCATTGGACTACATGTCGGAACCGCAGGGCGCAGGTGCCATCCGCAATTAAATCAGCTCTCGGCGCCCTATGGTTGCGACATGCAATGAAAATTATTAGTGCCCCCCCAGATTTGACTGTGGTATCTTATGTGCCCCCCCCTATATATTGTTCCTAGAGTCGCCACTGCTGCAATGTATGCACTTTTCTCTATAACAAATGCTGCAAGTATAGAAAAATGCTTGTTGATCCTGCTAGAAAACCAGTAAGGTCTCAATTTCCTGTAGTGAGCGGACAACGCTGCCTCCACTCAGCTGGAAGGCAATGTTGTCAGCCTGCCTAGTTCTCCCCTGGGGATACAGTAACTCATCCTTATGGAGATGAGGAATGGGGACATGTAGGAGAACTGGGCAGGGCTGACAGCACTGCTTGGGAATTCGGTGTAGCAGAGCCAATGAGTTGTCGGGTTAAACAGGTAGTTAGAAACACATTAGATTTCTCACAGTCCTAAAGGTATTTTTTTGTTTTCCAGCATTTTTAAAGTTATAAAACATGAGGAAATGTGCATGTTTATTTTTTGTCTTGTCTAATTATTGTTTAATTATGGTCTCCCACACATTCCTCTGTTTTTCTGCTCTCTGCCACTTCTCCTGTTTTTTCTGTGCCCCCTCCCCATTCCTGCAGATTACAAAGAGATACATGCCTTCTGTGTAATCTGCAGGACCTGGCTGCCAATTTGACAGCTGGGTCCTGCCCTATATATCAGGAGGGTTAACAGCAATGGGGCTTACAAGCTGTCAACATTGTCACCACAATGTTGTGACTGGTGCACTTCATGCATGGTTAGGAGTTGTATGTTGTATGTATGATATGTCATTCCTACTTCTAAGAGGAAAAAAAAGACAAGCTTAGATTAATAATAAAATAGCTTATTTAGCTACTCTGCCTTAATTTATTGACATTTTTTTTAATAAACTTACATTAAAACTTGTTGGCTTGTTCTGCAGGATGCTAATCTTATGGAGTATCAACACCATTCAAGAGAATACAGCCCTCATCTAAGCTCTAGTTCTGTCCTTCTGCCACAGAGGAGACGGCCATCACTACTATCAAAATTCCAAACAGCGAATGAAAGGTAGGATCTCATCATTGTTGTCCACTGCACAGGCCTTCACCTTACTGTTAAAAAATCAAATGTCTTTATTCCACAGAGAAATTAACAATATAGTAGCATCTATAAATGTTCTGACTGGCCAAAATTGATTAAAGCCGAAATGTGTTTGTCATTATGGCTAACGCAGCACATTGAGTTAGAGAAATGTTTGTACAATGTATAGAATCTCAGATGTTTTGCCCAATTGTCTGGGGTTATGTATGCAAACATGAGATCAGATGACAATACTTTGAGGGACGGTTGTTTGGAAAAGTTGGGAATTTTTGTTACTTCACCATCAGACTCAAACAGTTTAGGGCAATATTTGACAATATCTGGTATCTAATCATTCTGTAAAATGTGCACATGTGGGAATATTTAGGACATGTACAGACAGCTGAAAAGATTATTTATCATCATACTGATTTAAATACCCAACAGTCACTCTCCAGTGTGTGACTCTGTGTGTTGGCATTGTGCATTGACATAGTGCCAGCTAACATAATGAAAGATCAGGCAGCACAGTGGCATAGTGGTTAGTCCTTATGCCTTGCAGCAACAGGGTCCTTGGTTTAGGACACTAGCTGCATGGAATTTGTATGTTCTTCCTGTGCTTGCGTGGGTTTCCCCTGGTTTTCTTCCAATGCCAGTAGGTTCATTGTCTATTGTCTAAATTGCCCCTAGTATGTGTGTGCAGGTTTAAAAAAAAAAAAAAACACATAATAAAAGGTTACATCTTATTGGGTACCTTTTGTTGCACATTATTGATGTTTACACTTTATTATCTAATATGCTTCTCCGTTTTGGTAATCACATTTTTGTAAATCCTTAAGGTAAATATCAGCTGCAGGTAATTGAAATTTATAGCATAATATAACAATTATTTTTAAATACCAATACATCTCCAGGGCTCACATGTCTACTCATGATTCTCTTTCCAAGTATAAGATGAATGACAGTGATCTTTGACGTTTTGCTGAATTTCCAAGAGACTCAAATGATGCCTCAGGGGTTATCTTATTGACTGCTGGTATATTTACAATGCAGCACTGGTGAGGCAAGACTCTGTTAGCTGAATTTATATTAAAAATATGTAGGACAATACACTAGGGGGGTGGGGTGGGGAAGGCAGCTACATCAGCATCCATTGACCGGATATCCAGGGGAATGCCAAGGAGCGCAAATCTCGAGAGATGCCGCTGCAGTACAGTGCGATAGTCTGTTCTCACAATATTTGGACTACTTGACATTCCTCGGGATATTGGCAGAAGTTTGCAGATGTCTCCCTTGCCTAGCTACTGTTGTGGGTAAGTTAAGTATATTAATTTACACATGTTTCTACCTTTTTTTTCCTGATCATTCATTAAGGGACACAGGAGCAGCAGAATTCTGAGATTTGGTTTATACTGGTGCCTACAGGAGGAATTAGGCACTGATAAACAAAAAACATTGGCCAGTACCCGGACCCCACCATGATGCAGGGCTTGTTAGCTGCAAAGCGCTTTAAAGTCAAGGACTCTGACACCTGATACCTGAGCGCACCACAGAGCGCTTTACAGGCCTATCACTACAACTGGGAGTTGCCCTTTAAGAGCTTGGTGTAGTAGGTATCCCTGTTATAATTCTGCCTTAAAGGGTTAACGTTTTGAAGTTTTTTGACAGCTGTGCTATGCACAAACTTACATTGTCTCTTCCCGCCTTTTCAGTGTGAGGTAGTTTTCTGTCACTAGGGTCCTGGGTTTACTTTGGTTTCTCCTTGCTGCTGCCTAATAGTGACGAAGTCTCGTCTGGCCATATAACCCTCATTACTTCAGCAACTGGTTGTGAGTACCCAAGATCTCTTTGGTGTTCTCTCACATACATACTTGCAGATCTGAATGCAAAGAAAGTGGGTCTCTTCAGCTTATGATCCACCAACATCTCCCTGGCAGCATGCAGTGTCCTTCCTGAAGGACCTGATGCAGGCAGCCTAGATCATAGGCCACTACTTGAGCACACATGCTCCTTGGAGTCTTCTCTAGATCTCTAAGGTGTGCCAAAGCCCTTCAGTCTGCTGAGCCTCTAGGCTTGAAGATACTATATTGGATTGCAATTATGTGTGCTTATTTTGTATGGAGACTCCGAAATTCCTGACAAATTGTTCTCTCTTAACCACTTTACTGAGCAATATCCAATGGAGAAGGCATTTACCAAGAAGTGGCCCAGTCCTGTTGTGGACCCAGCCATTTCTTGCCTTGCAAAAAACTGACTCTTCTTGTTGAGAATGTTCCAGAGTTTAAGAACCATAAAACAGTGTCTAACTACTAAGGTTAAAAACAGAGGTATTAGTTGCATGTCTTCTGCAGACTATGTGGAAGCCACACTGCCTCGTCAAGGATCCTCTGTATGGTGTGGTCCTAACTCTAATCTATGAGAGCCTCCGACTTGTAGCATATATAGCAAAGGATGAACTTGATGTGGGTTCGCCAGGATGTAGCCCAACCTCCTTAAAGGCACAGGGACACACCAGAAGCCCTGCACATCACAACGGCAGCTGTGTCCCCACACCAAATCCACCAAGCAAAACGAATGACAAACGCATGGAAAAGTATCAGTACCTTAACCAGGATATTGTGCTTGGGAGTCTGTTTAAACAGCCCCGATGCTGGCGACGTACACTGTACGTCGTCAGTCACGAAGGGGTTAATGTTCCACCTTTTTTCCGTAAAGGCACATTCCACTAGATCATTCAGTGCTTCTTGGTCTTTTCGATATCAGTCATCTGTTTCTTAGATTTGCAAGGTTGCTACCTGGTTATCATATTATTATTATACAGGATTTATATAGCGCCAACAGTTTGCGCATCGCTTTTCAATGTAGGGCAGACATTACAATCGCAATACAATTCAGGACAAGATGGGGAGGAGGGCCCTGCCATATGTTCAAGTTTTACAAGGTGCATGTTTACGTATCTGCTGATGCAAGTTTTGGGCATATGGTCCTTCAGGCAGCTCTTTGAGCTGCAGTCAGCCCTCAGTTTTTATGCTTTGTTGGTTTGTTAGCATTTTTGTGTGGTGTATTGCCCCACAATCAATTGGACTGCTTTTGGATGTCTTAATGCTCTTAGAATTTTGCTGATCCCGTGTCCCTTAATGAACGGTAAAGAAAACATTATATTTATACTCATGTTGTAAAATTTGTTTCTTGAAGTTAATTTAGGGATATAGTCCCACACCTCTGTGTTTAAGATAATACTGCTTTTCTAGAAACTGAAACATCATTGGTGTGAGAGCGGTTACCCTTGGCTGGCCAAATGACTTTTTTGTTTGCCAGTGTGCAATTCTCCTATATGCAGCAGCATAACCCAATGGTCTCAGAATTCTACTGATATTGTGTCCCTTAATGAACTCCAAGAAACTGATCTTACAGGGAGTCCAAAAATCCTGTTTTAGCATTTTTATTATAGGGTAGGAGGGCATTCTTTGCAGTAAGGTAAAAAACGACCAGTACCTTTTTGCAATTATCTAGAAGTATGTGTTTGTAGATTGTCATTACTAAACATTTCTAAGCCCTCGTTCACACCTGAACGTTTTGTAGCGCGTTCTACGCTCGATGAACGCTCTACAAAATGCTCAAAAATATAAATCCCATTGTATTCAATGGTCTCGTTCCCACCTTGGCGTATTTCCGCCTGTCCCTAACGTGCTATAAAACGGCCCACGCCTGAAAAGGTACAGGTACTACTTTGGGCCGTTTTGTTGCCCGTTTCCATTGGGATACAGCCAAGTAGCCTTCGGAAACGCGCCACGGTCGCGCAACTTTTTTACCGCGAATCGCGGTAAAACAACGCGCGACGGTCGCGCGACAGAAGCGCATATGCAATATGCCTAGGTGTGAACGAGACCTTAAGGTGTGTTTGTTGTTATTTTAAAGATTTGGGTAAAGTTCCTCTTTAATTATCTTTGTGCATTTATCACTTGCTGTTTTCCCTTTCATATAAATGTGATCTCTGAAAAAAAAATTCTTTATTCAAATAGACTGTTAAGTGCAGATCATGCATTTTGAGAGATTTAAGGGTCTTGCAAACACTGTTATTGTGGTCAGTATATCTCCTTTGACATCACTGACCCCGCTAATAAGGAATTGTTAAAATTCTGAATTATGTGTTGCTAAACCACAGAAAAGTGAGGTCATCAGCTTAGCTATGCTGGCTAGAAGTTTTACCGGGATCATAAGACTAGGCACAATGGCAGGTAAAATAGAAAAAAAAAAGTTTTGGATAGCTGGAAGTGTTCGATCTGTTTTACTGCTTTCTTGATCCCTGTTGGGGAGATTCACTCCGTTTGTCCTGGTGAACATTGTCACCAAGGCAGACGCTAGTGGAAAATTCCCAAAAATCACTGGAGCAGGAATCAAGCTGAAATCTTCAAATGGGGTCACCTGACAACTGTAGGATTTCTTTAAGTTGTGTTTGGGACAGAACGTGAAATCTTTCTAATGCGATAGCAAAAACAAAAATCCAGGGGCTTTAACCATTCTCTGTTCTATCCACAGCTAGTAGAAAAATCTTGGCTTTAGATACTGTAGTACATATATGTGTGTGTGTGTGTGTGTGTGTGTGTGTGTGTGTGTGTGTGTGTGTGTGTGTATATATTAGGTAGTGTTATTTATTCATCATCCATCAGGCTCTGTTCAGCCTTTGCTATAACACTGCACTGCTCCAAATTAGCTTTTTTTTTTTTTAAACTGGTGTCACACCCTTCTGGCACCTGTTAATTCACTTACAGCTTGGCAGATTTATACAATATTGTTGGAGCTAGAGGACATTTTTAAAGTATACCTGAAATTACATTTAAAATATAATTACTAGTCCTTGCTGTTTTCTTTACGCTGTGTCTGAATTTGCTTCTGCCTCTTTCCAAGCTGCAGCTTGCATGCAGATAAAATTGGCATGCCTTTCACAGAAGTGACTTAATCCCTGAAACTGGGGTCTTACAGTTGCA